CCCCCGGGCCCCTTGCGCAGTACACCCTGGAACGACATAATCTTCTGCAAGTCGAAGGCGGTCGTTTACGGAAGAAGAAGAAGAAGAAAGTACAACTTACCGCCAAAGCGGACGTGGCGCGTCTTCCTGGGCAGAATTTTTACCCAGCTCGTTCTTCCCTTTCATGCACACTCGCCATCTTGGAAAGGCGTGTTTCACGCACATGTGTCATGCCACCTGTAAATCACGAGCAAAATTTGCATTCGATAATCAAGTTAACATATAAGATTAATGACAGGCCAATAGGAAATCACCACACACGCAGGCCAGAAAAATACGCTGTGTTAATTCTGGCTTTAATCTTACGAATTTGAAATTCTCAATTTTTCTATCCTCCTTCATTTTACTGAAGGAGGCCTCGAGGAAAACACACGTTAGTAATTTTATAAATGATTTTTATACCCATTTATCTTCTGATTGCGATAAGAACATTTTCTAGCTAGTAGTAGGTGACAAATTACAAACATTACAGTCATTGCGACAGTTGCCTCTAGGGATTCCAATACGGAAACTCCGTACAACAAGAGTAAATGTCAAGCGACATGCGTGTAGATAGAAATATTTCATTTGTGTACTTCGATCTTTGAGTGTTTATTTCTCTTTATCGACGATTGTTAAACTGAAAATCCAATTCTTCCCATATCATAGTTAGTATCAACGATAAGATTATAAAGTTACAAAATATAGCCGAATATAACCGAAACGTCCGCAATTTGTGACTAAGAGGACGCTCCTGACGAAGCAAGTCTTAGATTTTCAAACGTTATTTAATAAAATGGTTATTTGATAGGTTTTAGCTGAGCATTGATTCAATTATAAGGAAGACCAATCAAAACAGCGGATTTCGTCTTATAACGAGGCTCAAAAGTATGCATACATTAAGTCCAGGTGCCACATTACGTCATGCGATGTAGTTACGTAATCCTCCGGGCGAACTGTGTAGATATGCTGGGTTAAATATAGGCAGGAATGGGTGTAAACATTGGCGTTAAAAGTAAAAATAGCGCAAGCAATTACAGAACTAGTTGTTGCAATATTTTCTATATGATCCATTCTTCACGTCTAGTTGTTTTCTGGACGGTTGGAACTGATAGTAAGAACAAAATCAAAGAAAATTTGTTTAGTAACGAAAAATTAAACAAACATCAATAAAACGCATAAACGCATAAACTTTTGTTCCAGTTTTTCCACCAAACCCTTTCTAGAAGTGTAATAATTCATGCCTGAGGTGTCCAGAAGAATCTTTCCATCCCTGGCAAACGTGAACCCTTCTTTACAAAATTTACTCCCTCACGTTTTAGTTGATGTGTGATGCATCCACAGGCGCCATAATGCAATTCATCACACGTGTCAATGAGGGCCTCTAGCAGTTCCTGGAATTATTGCAGGTACTTGAGGAGATTTTTACATGCAATAATTTCACCGACTGCTAGAAGTCGCTTTTGATACATGGCGCAGAGGGTCATTAACCGATGTATCCTTGATGCTGATTGGTTCTCATCATATTTACGTGTTTGCGTCGTCGAGCCTGATTGGATAATAAAGAGAAACAAGTATGACGTCTGCCTCTTTGACCAAATATGGACAACAGACTCGAAGCTATAAAGCAGCTTTACTTTTCATGTAAACAACTGAAGTTACGATGAATTTTCGGACGAATAGGACTATTTTAGGCAGTTATTTTCCCCCAGATAAGCTACTGAGTCGTAAGAACTACCTCTACAAAGAAAAGGAGTCGATTTATGAGGCTAGGGGAGGTGAAAATGCTCGGCAACCACGTAATATTCTTACGAACAGGGGAGGGGGGCATTATGTGGGGATGGCTTTCAGCACCAAGGACAGGGATAGCTTCAGTTTGACCCTTCATGACTACAAACTGAATATTAATACACCGACGCGACTGCAATATACGAAGGAAATCAATTTGTGAATTTTTCAGTGTCGATCTCAATATCATATGAATGGAAACAGAGCCTCTGTCAGGCGTATAACTATGGCAATCCCCAAGCTGTTACGATTCTGCCTTCCACCATGCATCTGCTTGGTTTCCATTCATATGGTAATATGATCGACACGGAAAATTCACTCCTGTCAAGACTGTGACCATTTCTGCAAGCGATCAGCTGATCGCAAAATCACATTTTTACGTGTAAGTTGAGAATAAAGGAAATTTGGTCAAAGGCAATAAGTAGGAATAGAGAGGAGACCATACGGGGTAACGTTATACTCTGAAAACAAGGAGGCCGAAAAATGCCAAAAGTTTCATTTTCCTAAAATTGAAAAAGCGTACATTCATCCCCTATCACACCCCCGTTTTGAAGCACCCGTTCGGAAGGAAGCCTCGCTCATTCCCAGATTTGGCCACTTGGGAAACGCGATGGGCTCTTATGGGGGTTTTACTCCAGGTCTTTCCAGCTCTTGTTCTTGACGCTGAGGCCTCTCCTGACTACTTAAATATCACGGATATATCAGGGAATAATCGTTTTAGTCAGGCATATGCTCATTTTGAGACGAGAACTCCTACAGCGGGTAGTACGAGCGTCTGAAAATGGTACTTTTTTTGGCAATATTTCTGTCATTTATGTTGTCAACAGAAATATTTCTATTTCATTTATTTCAACATTTTATCACATTCTAGTAAATATTATACAAGTATTTACGTATATCAGGACAAGAAGTGGAAACACTGCATAATATTCAAATCAAATGTTGACATATCAAAGCCTTAGAAGTGACCACTATGGTCTGGTCACCATGCTACAGCTTTGGCTGTAGTTCTAATGAAATATATATGTTTACCAAAAGAAAACATATTGTTTTTGCTCTGTTTCCTCTTCTCTTCATCCAAACAAATAAGATCAATGACCTGAACCAGACGTCACCATCATGGTAACATCATGTTGGGTTACATAGTGTTGCAAGTTTATAGCAGGAGGGATTTAGACTCGTGTCTGATTATATATATGAATGTGTTTGAGTAAGAAAGACCATATGCGAAGGTAAGCATTATGCATTTGCTTTGCAAATGTTACCTTTCTAGTTCTTTAGTAATTTCTTTTGGCATGTGTATGTGCAATGTATTATTGTAGATTGCTTCAGCAAATTGACCACTAATGTTGGCTACGTCCTACTAAAATACATTGACCTAGATTTCAGAGCTTCGAAAGTTGTAGAATGTCCAATATTGAACTTGACTTTCGTATTACCGACCGGAACCTAACAAAATAAATACTATGAAAACACATCCACAACATCCGTGAAATGAGTTACAGAACTTGTGGTTTCAATTGGGGATGGGCATGATTTAGACAGCATAGTTAGCCCAGCAACAAGCTAACTTCTGATACATAGAAGCCGTCCAGTGTTCTATCTGCAGACAAAAACTATGAAAACTGTAAAAGTTTGGCACATCATTTTTATTTCCCGAATTATTTTGGGACTATATTAAAGCATCATTGACCTCATTTTTCCAAAAACATTTTTCTCAATTTTTTTAAACAGAGACGTGTGGGAGACACTGAAAACTTGTAGAGAAGTAGGTAGTTGTTCTAGAGCAAAATGAGTTGTCTTTTCATAGATGACCAGAAGTCAACAGACTTGCAACATTGCATTTCACATTTAATTTTGCGAGCAGTCACTTCTCAATGTATGAGTTCTTAATTATCATGTATAAACAGCAAGATATGGTACATCATGTTCGACAGAGTATCAATGGAATGCTCCATTTATGAACAACTTTTAAACAGCTTCCACTACCTACCATCATGTCCTACATGTCAATCATGCCATACTCATGACCTACAGGTGAAAATTAGCAAATGTCCCTGAAACTTGTGAAAAACGTGGAAAATCATATGTGGTAAGGGTAAGCTATACACAAATATTTAGTTATACAAAAAGAGAAGTCTTCAACAATAGACATGTACATCGAGTGAAAGTCGTCCTCTCAGGTTTTTAATCAACTCTTTTCATCACTTGCAGCTCTCTCATCAAGATACATTTGAAATAGGATAAAACATACGAGAGTAACAAAGCAGACGATTCCTACAAATAGCGGAGAGAAAGGTCCCATCTCCACTTTCCTAATACCCAGATAGTTGGTCTCCACACCTAGACCTAAGTCACCGCTGCATACCAGTGTTCATGGAGTTCAGACGGCCATTCATGGCGTACGGATTAGGGGCGGGGCTGTACATGATGTTGGAATGGCGGGTGTGGTGCAGCTGTTGTTGGGGGGTGGGGGGGCATGTTGATGACGCCCATCTGGACCGGGACGCGCGCCGCCTGGTCCATGTACGCGGGGTTGACGGGCTGGTACGTGCTGTTCATGATGGGCTGCGCCAGGCGGTAACCGTTCATGTTGACGGCGCTGTAGCCGGTCATGGGGCTGATGGTGCGATGGCGGGAGGAGGGGAGGGGTGGGCCGGGGCCCGGTCTGTACTGCGGGCGGTATTGCTGGGGTGGGGCCGGCTGCATGGGGGACGAAGTGAACCGGTACGTTGGACTTGTTCTGTATGTTCATGTTGGTCTGGATGACGTGGCCTTGCACGCCGGGACTGGGGGCAGACCTGTTGTGGACAGGAGGGGTCATGTTACGTTGCACGGGGGAGGGGGGAGTCATTGCTAGCGGAGGGGGAGGGGTGAGGTTAGGAGGAGGGGTCATCCCCGGCTGGTTGTGCAAGGAGCCCGGAGACGGCATACGTAATTGCGATTCGTCCATAATGCCGTTGGTGAGCTGTTGCAGTTTGGCAAGGCTGAAGCTGGTGCTCGTGTTGGGACTTTCCCGTCCGCGTAACATCGTCCCCATGCTGCTGTAGGCATTGTGGTTTCCGCCAGGCCCCGTCCCGTTGTCCTGCATCCCCAGGTAGGCGTTAGACACTTGGCAAGAAGTCTCCATGAGGGCGTGCTGTGCGGGCATCTGACCGTAGTTCAGGGGACAGTTCTGCACGGCAGGCTGTACGTGGTGCGTGGGGTCCATACTGGAATAGTTTGTGGTGTGGATGGGCATGCTGTAGCCTTGTTGTAAGTGGGAGTTATCCATCATCAGACTACAGTCAGCACTGGACACGATGGCCATGTTACAGTTGGTGGACACGGAGGTGGTACTGTACATCATTCTGGCCGGCGCCACGCCGGTGTTACTGCTGTCCACCATGGCCATACCAGAGGCAGGGGGCAGCGCAGAACTGGACGTGTTGGCAGAGAGGGAACAGCTGCTACCTGCTGACCCAGAGGACAGCTGCTGTCCAACACCAGGGCTCATCCTCATGTATGTATTCCCGTCCTGCAAAGAAAACATAACCAGTAAACAATTACAAATGTACCTCTAGAAACAACAATCCTGAAGTGTTATTGACAGCACGCAACAATAATATTGTTCTTGGTAAAGATACAGTCAGAACTTTCCAAATTCGATTCAATGGATTGACACATTAACAGCACAAAGACTGCAATTGGGATCACTGATTCTACCAGACTGCAGTCTCTACTCTAATATATATTGTATAGTTACTAGTACCTGTATGGACCCATGGTGTTGGATGTTGCCCATAGAAGGACTGGGTACAGATGACGGCTGTGTGTTGCTGCCGTTGTCCACAGCAGGGCTGTTCATACTACAGGGCAGCATGGGGCTGTTGTGACAGGAGGAGGACCCTGTGCCGGCGCTGGCCGGCCTGAGCGGAGACGGGTTGGTGCTCTGGTGACTGACGGCGTGGGGAGACTGGGTGGGAGTCTGCTGGATACTGGGCGGTCCAGTCTGCGTACACAACTGTTCTTTGGTCATCATGTTTCCAGTTTGTACTACCGTGTGTTGTTGTTGTTGTTGTTCACATGAAGCCGGTCTGTCGGACAGGGTGTGGATGACTGTAGGAGATGGTCGGTCACTGTTGACGGCGATGTCTGCTGGTGCTGGCTTCATCACCCTGGGGGACTCCAGGTTGGGACTGTTGGCATCACTGCCGTAGTCGCTGTGGTCGCTCTGCAGTTTGGGAGGCAGCTGCTGGGGGGCGCTGGGGGGCACGCAGGTGTCCAGGATCCTCTCGGGACTGCTGTGCTCCTGCGGCGCCGGTGGTACGGCCTGCTCCTGCGACACCTGAACAACCTGCACCTCGCTTTTCTCCTGGGGGGGTTGTGGTTGCGGGGAGGGGGTGTTCTGCGGGAGGGGGGACAGGGTATCCACGGGGTAAGGCTGGTCTGTCATGGTGACAGCAGGTTGTTCTGTAGGCGTGGATGCACAGGTGTCTGATATACTGTCCTCCAAACATTGTGCAGCAGCGTTGCCTTCAGTGTCCACCTGAGGAACCGGTACCTCCTCCTCTATAGGAGAACACACTGGCTGTTCCTCTTCCTGTTCCTTCTCCTCTTCTTCCTCTGGTTGTTGTTGTGGGGAGGAGGGTTCAGGCTCACTGAGGCACACTTCTGCTGCCTCCTCTCCATTCACAACTTCTTCAGGGCCGTCTTTTCTCTCTGTCTGCTCTTCTTCTTCCTCTTCTGCTACTTCTTCTGGTTCTTTTTCTTCCTGCACCATGTTAACTTCCTCTGGGACAGTGTCCTCCTCTTCCTTGCCGTTCGTCTCCGGAACGGGGACCGTTGTTGTCTCTTTCCTGTCGTCCTCTTCATCCGAGTCCTCCAGGCAGTCTGACAGGTTGGGACAGTTGGTGACGTCGTCCAGCCCCGATGACAGTGTCTGCGTCATGAGCGAACAGCTGCCTCTGTCTGCAAACTCTCCGTCCTGCAAAATGTCAAGTCATTATTTTTAGACTTTGATGAAATTTGATACTTTCCTTGAACACGAGCAAAAATAGCTCACCTTGAATATTCAGTAGCTCATAAGTCGACCTTTCTATGAGAGATAATCAATACATAAAAACCAAAAACAATCATTTTTAAAATTGTATCACAATAAATCCCTATAGCTCCTATTACTACAATTTCAACAAACAGCCATGTTGCCATTGATGCAAAATCAGTCACTATTTACATGAAGAGGAAATGATAATGAATCTAGACACTTACTAGTCCAGTTTTGTGTGAGCCTGATGCTGACGTGTGGTCAGATACAGGGTGCTTCCTCGGTCTGCCTGGTTTCCTCCCAGACTTGTGCCTGCTTTCTCTTTGTTTCTTACTGGAGTGCCTGTGCTCGTTCTTTGAACTTGAGCTTCTTTTGCTCTTCTGTTGTCCCTGACGGTCGCTCTTCCCCTTCTTTTTCTTGTGAGGAGGTTCATCGTCCTGGCTGACATGGTTGTGTTGGTCCAGAGCGGACGACGAGTCTACAGAAAAAAAAAAAGATCAAAGCATCTTTAAAAAAAATGGTATGAAACAAAATATTCAAGATAGAAGGAAAAAGGAGGCCAAATGGATCAGAAAATCCACTTCAATCATGAACTGTGATGAAGGGGGATAAAGTATTCTTAAGAACTTTACCTTGCTTCATTATGTCTGTACTGTACTGTACTATGTCAGTATCACATATCAACACTCTAGGAGACCACAGTAATACTGCAGCTGCGACACCTAGACCTAGCTGCAGTACAAGTCAGAACCAGTCACTGTTGCCCTGAAGAAGGTGACTAGTGTTGGATGTGAAAACCCCTCGTTGTTAACTAAAGAACATTCTTACACAGTCCCTTGCCAACCTGATGAAATTATTCACAAAAAGAATCTTATTGACAAAAGTGTAGTTACAATAAAGAAGAAGTCTTGATTATGGCTAGTACCTTTGCCTTGCCCTTGATGGCTTCTCTTGGTCCTGTTCTTGGTCTGGCCAGAGTCTGACTTGCTTGCACCATCGTATACCAAACTGTCTGCACAGTCTGTAACAAGATTCCATGTAAATACTCAATGGACTACCACCTATTCCAGCATCACTGTATCACTAGTCCTGAGTGCAAATGTGGGCATCCAAATGAGACACCAGATCACTATTGCACTGCAAATTTTATAATACTGAAAGGACCAAAATGTTGTTATCCATATCTTGCCTTCATCTTGAAAACATACTCCCTTCCGACCCACTCAACGCAGATGACGCCACATTATGTACTTTACTTCTTACAGGTAGTCCCTCCCTCCCATACCCTACTAACTGCCGTATCTTTGATATTGTGTTCAACTTTATTCATCACACTGGAAGATTTGACCAATCTTATTAATGTTATATTGGTTTTGGTATTGGTATTGGTACGCCAGCCACTTTCATTTTATGTTTATGTTATACTTTATGTCATCTTTATGTTTACTTTTGTATTATGTTTTATGAGCAGCGGATTCACATAAGCACAACAAGTGCTTCCTATCCAATGCTCAAAAATCCATGTGAATAAAATAAATAAAAAATAAAATAAAATAAATACTCAATGTAACAATAAAGGCATCCAAGTCAATCTCAAGGCAGTAAAACTGGATTTTCAATCACTGTCACTTTCCTGGTCATTTCTTAATGTAGTAAGTTGAATCAACCATATCCCATGGTGATATCTGTGAGGCAAAAATGCAATGTCACTGATGGAAAACAGTTGCTTGTTTAGTATTGTAAGCTGCTTCTAGCTGTATGTTGGCAGTACCAAAAATAAATAGACTCCTCAGGTAGACCTCAAAGCCCTGCCCACCAACCTCAAATGTAGATACGCAAAATAAAAGTGCATTAAGTGCATAATTAAGAATTTGATGGACATGCAGCCATTTTCCCATTGTTTGAACCAATGACTGCCATCCTCTCATTGGTTGAATTGCTAATTATGATTGACAGTCAGAAGTGTTCTCACCAGAGGACTTGTTAGCTGTCCGCTCTGGGCTGCTGGTTCTTGCCTCAGAAGAAGTGCCCTCTTCCAGCTTGGCTGCTTTCTTGTTCTTACGGTTGGACTTGTGGTGTTTGTGCCTCCCTGAGCTGGACTTCTTTTTCCTGTTACTCTGTAACAAACAATGGATATTTTTCATTTCATTTTGTTTGATGTAACATTGCATCGAGCAGCAAAGGGGGGTTTGGGGACATGCTTCCCGGGAAAATTTTGAAATCTTGACCCTCTGAAATGCTATTTCCCTAATGTTGAGGGGCAAATCTTGCCGACAGACTAAGCTTAGTTTAGTGACATCTCTTTTCATATCCTTACAGGCCCATTTTTGTCTGTCATGAGCACCAAAAGTCTGTCAAATGAAGAAAGACGGATGCTTTTTACCTTTTTGGAGGATGACTGACGTCCTTCCTTCTGTTTGTCTGTGGGTTTCTCTTTGACTGCTTCCCTGCTGACACTTCTGTTGACGTTGGTGTGAGGCTTGGGCTGTCTGTGGACCTTCTGTTCCTGCTCAATGTCCCTCACCAGGGCTCCCATACGCTCCATCTGACAGTACACATATCAAAGTGTCAATGGTTTGTTTTAAAGGGGCATTGCAGGTAGTGATGCATACCGGTTCACTGGACTTGGATCCGGACTTGTAAGAATGTTTAGGTTCAAATCCAAAAAAAATAAAAGTCAAGAACCAAGTCCAGACTTATTACCATCAAAGACCATTTCACATATCCCTTTTTTTCGTAGATTGTAAAATCTTTGCTGCAAAACGAAGAAAACATTGCCATCGGGCATCGTCAAGTACCGGCCTCCATGTTATGTGGCCAAAGTTTCACCCAGACAACATTGCAAGGTTGCCAACATGCAACTTTGTATATGCCATGGGTTTAGGTCCAGACTTACAAGTCCGGAACTGAACCTAAACCTCTGGACTTGAATCCGGACCTGAACCTAAAATTGGGTTTAGGTATGCCTTTTAGCACATCGTATCGTATTATCAGGCTATACGTATTATTTGTGACCACTACATTAAATTTAGGACCACTACACTAATTTTCAACTTCTGGTAGTGTAACGGTACTTAACTTGTGTGAAAACTTGAACCCTGCATTATGTAATTTTTGGGTGCAGAACCTTCATGTGAATGATATGTGCAACCACTTTTTACTATATTTGCATCACAAAAACAAGGTGCACTGAATTCCGAAAACCATTTCAAAGGAAACTCACCTGGTCTTGACAATATCATCCAAGTTCGGGGCTGAGTAGTTACATCAATACCTGTAAATTCTCCATTGTATACGTGTGGAGAATTCTGATAAACAGATAAACAAACAGGTTCCATACCTCTCTCTCGGCACTCTTCTCCTCCTCCAGGATGGCAGTGTTAGACACGATGAGGGGAGACCAGCGCAGGGCGTCAGGGTCCACCTCCGCACGCCGCTCGGCAGCCGACTCCAGACGGGCCATGTGTTCTTCCACCAGACGCTTCCTCACACGGATCATCACCCTGGGGCAGCACGCACATTCAGTTTTAATCATTTCTTTACAGGGCTCGAAATTCATTTTTAGGAATAGGTGCACTAGTGGTGCACCCAAACTAAAAAATTAGGTGAACAGAAAATTTTTTGGGTCCACCATATAAAACTAAACTTAATTACAGGTCTTACTGCTTCACTTCTGAGCTTGAATCTAAAATTGGAGCTAACTTCAAAATCTTCAACAAGTACTACAACACAGGTTTTATGATTTTTGTGACATTTAGATGCCAAGAATATCCTGTAAACTACATGTATTATACATTTGATATGTACAAAAATATCTACAACTACAAAAATATTTGGGTGCACTGGTGCACCCACAGAAAAAAATGGGTGCACAGCTCCAATTTTGGGTGCACTAAGGTGCACATGCACCCAGTATTTCGAGCCCTGTATATAGATTGCACATACAGTACCATCTATATAGCACCCTGTATATGTACAATTTGGGAGTATTTCTCGCGCAATGCATCACACCGCAGGAAAACGCAACGAATGCGGAAGTAACTACGCCACCACAGGGCAAAAAAGTCAAGGGTTTATGACCTGGTTAAGGCATCAAATTATTTCAAAATACTGTGTAAAAATTGCCAGCACGACAAGGGTTAAGATTAACCACATTTAGGGAAGAACTGCTGACTATCATCTTTTCAGGATGTCGACAATGTTAACCTTCACATGGTCTAGCTCAACAAACTACTGCTCTGTTTATTCTTACTTAAACACTGTCCTGCTACTTGCTACATAATGTAATCCCACAGGGTGTCTGCTACAGCACCAGTTACCATGGTAACAGCTCTCTGGTCCAGGTCATTGACCTTATTTACTTGGAACGGAAGAGGAAGAAGAAACAGAGCAAAATTAATATATTTTCCTTCTGCGAAGGCAGATATGACTAGAAATGGTTTCTGTCTTTGTCCAACTCTCACCTGTCGTCCTTCCTGGTGACCATATGGAGGCTCTGTAGCGTGGCTGCGATGTCATGTGGACACATCCCAGTGGCCTCGCTGATGACCTTTATACTGATGTGGTCACCCTGGAAGTAAAACAACAATCAGTCGCATGAAAATCACAAAGACTGACTTCAGGGCACTCAGGGAGTAAAACCTCTGCATTGAGAGCAGTAAATTCTTATCTGTTTCCAATTATTTTTTTACCAATTTTTAAACCGGTAAATGATGCCTCCGGCTTTATGTCCTATCCAAAGGATGTCCCTAACTCATTTTCACCTGAGTCTTAAAAGAGAGGAAATAGGTGTGAAGTGCCTTTTCCAAGGACACAATAGTGGGGCCTATCAAGGATTAGAACCCAGAACCTTCAGATTCTGAGTCAACAACCCTTACCACAAGACTACCTTGCCATTTTAGAAACTGTACTTAAGAAATTAAAAATGACTATTCAGTTTACAATGTTAGCCAGTGTTACCTTGTGTTTTGCTAAGTACTCGAGGATGGTGCTGCGCCAGTAAGCGGTGTAGCTGATGCGCCCCAGGTCAGACAGGGGTTTCTCTGGGGACCCAGGCTGGCCCTCGCGCTGGGACAACAGGTAACCTGCACAGAAACAATACATCAATCTCCTCGTAGAAAAAACACAGCTACCAATTTCTGTGCCAGTTTTATTCTTCTCTGAAAATAATATAAAACATAATTCTTGTCGTCCCCTACAGTTGTACACAAAGCTTGGAGTCAACACTACAGCTTAAGCCGTGACAATTGTCCAATTCCTGTGAACAATTTCATCAGGTTGGCTGTATGAGAAGGTTCTTTAGTCAACATCCAATGTGCTTGACAATGCATTTGATGCGCACTTGTAATATTGCAGCAGCGACACCTAGCTTCAGTAGAAGGTGACAGATGGTCACAGAAATGTTGGATGTAAAAACCCACTGGTTGTTGAATAAACAACCTTCTTATACTGTACAACCCTCCTTTGCCACTTCAGTGCAAAACTGACACCCAACGCCAAAGGAATAATACACAGACGTAGAAATAATACAGATACAGACATGCTGTTTAGGCCACAGCAAGTACATTTTATGGATGACATCCTCCGCAGACTCCAAATCTAATGCGAGCGGGCGAAAAAAAAACAAGGCGGGTCGAAAAAAACAAGGTTCTTACATTTTAAAATTTTGACTCAATCGTCGTACAAATGGTCTTGATTCAGTGGGAACATCACATATACACAGCCAGCATCACATATCACTACATCAAAGTAAGAAACAAAACATTAAATCAGAGCCCTTTCTTGTCTCCTCTCTGCCATCCACCTTCCAGCATGGCAGCAGACATCTTTGCCCATTTTCGGCATGGTGACCACTGTCAGAAGGCAACAAAGTTTCTTGTTTTTTTTCCCGAAATCAGGCAAAAATTAATGCCTGTCATCCATAAGAATTACTTGCTGTGGCCTTACAAAGGCCCTGTTGAGAAGACTTACTGAATTCGATGAGGAAGCGTCCAAATCCTCTCCTTTGGAAGTGTGGCATGGTCATGATACAGGACACATTGTACTTCTGTTGACTGTGTTTTTCCTGAAATATCAAAAGTCTGTCAGCCTTTTTTGAAAAGATTAGTACATTCACATCAAATCTTAAGATTTTTCTTGCTGTATTCCATTTTCTCACTGGAATGATCTCATTCCAGAGTTTACTATTAATGTTACTGAACCTTAATGCGAGTTACGGTAAAAGCAGAAACCTTTGGAGTGGTTTCATCTTCAGTTTTTGCAGTAACTTCTTACTGTGAAATCATAACACTGCAAATATGTGTTATAGTTCTATTTTACTACATGAAAACCTGCTTTTTCCTCCAACTTCAAAATAAAACCACAGCAAAGGTAAAGACATTTACGGTACCTTGGAGAAGTAGCCAACGAGATGGCATCCCTTTTTGTCATTGAAAGTCAGTACATAGAACAGGAAGGGTTCCACGTCATAGTACAGGGTTTTGTGGTCCAGAAACAGCTTGGCTAGCAGACACAGGTTCTGACAGTAGATCTGAAACAAAAAAACAGTACACATTGTTGGTAAACATACATAATACATAGTTCCTTATCACTTTTACGTAGAACGTTATGTTTTCAGTAGCAATTGTGTATGTGTGTGTGTGTGGGGGGGGTGTCAGTCGTCCTTTCAACAGAATAACTCAAGAAGGCTTAATATATATAGTCTTCATATTTGATGGGTAGGTCTTGATAAGATTTAAAAATGATTAGATATTGGTCCCCCTAATGGCTTGCTATGGTACTGCAGTGGAACTTCCGGTTTTGATATCTCCTGGTAAAATAGAACATTCATGACACTATCAATCACTTAGTGCTTTTTGGTTTGCCACTGCTGTTTCTTCCTTCAATGATATTATTGCAGGTATGCGTGCAGCAGCAGCTGGCTATATTACACCAAACGACCTGTTATAACCAACCTTTACACATCTAACTGCAAATTGTTCCATTTTCTAAATACAGTGAGTATTATTGAATGTTTTGTGATCGTTGTTGACGTTGTCTCACCTTGTTGACATTACCATCCACCTCAAAGACAGACAGGTTATCCTTGCGGTAGATTTCATTGGCCGGTGGATGGTGCCAGCCACATTTGATCTGTGGAGGTAAAACATGACGATTCATCAATCAAATCACCAACCACAACCAAACAACAGGACAAAGACATCAATTTCATGATTGAATAAGTTTGAACTTGAACAAGAAGAAAGTGCAGTGTCTTACCACATGCCTCTTGAGGATACTTCTACTCTTCATGTACTTGAGACAAAACTCACACAAGAATAACTTTGGCAACCTGTAAAAGATAGAATTGCCATCATTAATATCGGCAGGACATTTAGTAAATAAAAACTTAAACCACTATAGTTCACACACTGCTTCTTTTCTGCGCAGTTAAGAGAAGAGTATGGCACTTGAACACACAGTGCTAGTGCGGACTAGCCCCGACATTTGACAAAATTCAAGAATTTTGCCCAATCTGTCA